TTTGGCCCCTTTGTTGAAGATCAAATAGCTGAATAAGAATACACATTCTTTTCAAATGCACATGGAACATTACCAAAAGAGATTATATACTCAGCCATAAAAGAAGTATTATTGACTTAAAAGTCACTAATAGAGCTAAAATGAAATTTAAAAAATACAAAAGAAGTGAGGAAAAGAGAAAAAAAGCACAAATAAAATAAATAAAAAATAAAAATGATAGATTTAAATTAATTACATTAAATGTAAATGGTCTAAACACTCCAATTAAAAAGCAAGATGCAACTTTATGCTCTCTACAAGAAATTAATTTTAAATATAAAGTATAGATTATGTAAAAGTAAAAGCATGAAAAATGTACAAGTCTTAATTAGAAAAACGGCGGTATAATTAATGTACATACTTATCACCAGCATTGCCTTTTAAAAAATCTCTTAATCATATAATTTATAACTTTTTTCCACCCCCTTAAGACCCTCCTTATTCCCTTCCTCTTGTCTAATAATAGTCTCCCTTCTACTTTCATGTCATCTTTTTTTAGATTTCATATGTTAGGGAAAACATGATACTTGTCTTTTTGAGTCTAGCTTATTACATTGAACATCATGATCTCCAGTTTGATTCATTTTTCAGCAAATGACATACTTTTGTTCTTTACAGCTGAATAATACTCCATTGTGCATAAATACCACATTTTCTTTATCAACTCTTTTGTTGTTGGGAACTCAGGCTGGTTCTATATCTTGGTTATAGTGAATTGTGCTTCAATAAATGTGTATGCAGGTATCTCTCTAGTATGCTGACTTTAATTTCTTTGAGTGTATACCAAGGTAGTTCAATTTTTGCTTTTTTGAGGAACCCCTGGACTGTACTTTCATAGGATCTGTACTAATTTACATTCGCACTGGCAGTATAAAGGTTTTCCTTTCCCCCATATACTTACCAAGGTTTTTTGGTTTTTATGTTCCTTATGATAGCCATTTTGATGGGGTGAGATGGAATCTCAAGATAGTTTTGATTTGCATTTCCTTAATGATTGAAGTTATCGAACATTTTTTTCCATATAATTATTGGCCATTTGTTCCTTTTCTTTTGTAAAGTGTTCAATTCACTCATCCATTTATTGACTGGACTATTTTTTTTTCTTTTTTGATGTTAAGTTTTTTGAGTTCTTTAGGTACTCTAGATGTTAATCCTCATTTAAATCATAGCTGACAAAGGTTTTTTTTTCTCATTTTGTAGGCTATTTACCCTATTGATTGTTTGCCCTGCTGTGCAGAATGTTAATTTGATATAGTCATATTTGTTGATTCTTGCAATTATTTCTTTGCTATTATAGTCAGGAAGTCATTGGCTGTGGCTATGGCTTCAAGTGTTTTGCCTATGTTTTTTTTCTAGCAGCTTTAAAGTTTCAGGTCTTACACCTAGGTATTTGATTCATTTTGAATTGAATTTTGCATAAGGTAAGAAATAAGGATATAGTTTCAATTTTTGACATATGGATTTCCAGTTTTCTGAGCATCATTTTTTTTTTTTTTTTGGTACTGGGGATCAAACTCAGGACCTTGTGCTTGCAAGGCAGGCATGGTGCCACCGAGCTAAATTCCAGCCCTCTAACTTACCCACTTTTGAAAAAGATCACTTAGGAAAGAGACTGAGGTATAAAAAGCTGATGAAAAAACTTCTTCCAATCATTACAGAAGTAAAACTGCAACTTTTTCCTCAAGAGCATTTCTCTCTCTCTCTCTCTATATATATATATACATATACAGAAATATATATATGTGTGTATATATATAATACACACACACACATATATATATATGTCATTAGCCTACAACTTTTATGAAAACACTGCTTACCATCCAGACTACTTCACAAGACCATTTTACAATCTTGGTAGTTGACCTCAGACCACAGGGATATAAGTGTTTGGTAATTATTACTTCGTATGAGATCTAGGTAATTTGCAAAACTGTTGATCCCATTTATTTTATTCATGGTATCTCTTACAAATATCATTGTAGTAAATTTTTGTAATGTTGCCAAATGTTGTGAACTTACTTTCAACCTCTTATTTTAAGTAATATTCAGGTCCATACAAACTGTTGTTCCAAACTGAGAAATTCTAATTTAAAATATTTAGCCTAGACCTTGTGGATGAGGAAACAGTTTGGTTCTTTTCAACCTAATCATCAAAACAAACAATACAACCACACATACAGTTGAAACAAGTTTGTTCCCTCAATTTACTGGTATCTAAGTGTCCCTGTCTTGCCTCAATGATTCGGAGAGTGGTATCATACAGGGCTTTGAAATAGCCATGTGTTTCTCAGTGATATGTGCACATTCTGAAAAATGAATTGTTAGGTAATTTTTCATTGTGCAAACATGAGATGTGGGGACATCTTCCCATTCCAAACCTAGATGATATAGGACATCATATACAGGATATAGGATGATATAGGATACTGGACACCAACACTTTTTTTCTGTAGTACTAAGGATTGTATCCAGGGATTTGCACTAAGATACATCCCCAGCCCTTTTTTATTTTTTATCTTCAGCCAGTGTCTTCCTGAGTTGCCTAGGTGGTCTTCAAACTTGTGATCCTCCTTCCTCAATATCTTAAGTACTTGGGATTCCAGGCATGTACCAGTATGCCTAGCTCTGGATGGTTCAAAACACTAGCACGAGATATATGAAACTGCTACCACTGTATGGAACATTACATATTTTTACAATAAACTGATTTTTAAATAAGTATAGTAGTAGTACACTCTAAAATAATGATTAAAAAGTATAGTTTAGTAAATACGTAAACGAGTAACCTATTCATTTATTATCACTATCAAGTGTTATGTACAATACAGTAGTACCTTAGTTCACGAACTTAATTCTTTCCATGATTCTCGTTGCAAACAAAATTGGTCATGAACCAAATCAAATTTTCCCATAAGGTCTACCTTGAACGTAATCATTGAATTTGGCTTGTGACCAGAATTGTGGAAAGAATTAAGTTCATGAACCATGGCACCACTGTGCATGGTTTATGTGCTATTCTTTTATATGGCTGGGAGCTCAGTAGGTTGGTTTTCAGCAGCATCCTTACTAACACATGAGTAATGCGTTGCACTACCATGTTGCAATGACTACAGTGTTGCTAGGTGATAGGGTTTTTCAGCTCCACTATTCTCATGGGACCACCATTGTGTATGCACTCCGGAGTGCATACACAATGGTAACATCATTGTGTGGTGTGTGACTGGCCCTGCGCTGCCTGACTCAGTGTCAACTTTGTATTCCTGTCTACTCACTATGACCTTGTGGGACAAGAATTAAGCATGAGGTGTAGAGATTCTGGGGTCCATGTGAGCTTATGGGGAAAAGCAAGGTCTGTCTGCTTTGCTTGTAAAAAGAAACAGCAATGATATCTGTGCCATGTATTTTTCAGTGCTGGTTTGGATGGTCTCAAAGGCCTTTCTCAGCTTGAACATTTGATTCTTTTTCAGTCTCTTGCTCATAGCCATCCATTATTTTCCATTGGTTAGAAGCCAAATTTTCTCTGTCTGGATTTTAATACACCCTTAATGCAGTTATTTATAAAGATTCTCAAGTGTGTACCTCCTGACCCCCAAATGCTTGCTAATGTCAGATGAGCAGAGGAAATACTATTTGAAAAGAAGGTGATTTGAAAGCTGGATAATCCGCGTGCAAGTGTCCAAGCTCTAATTTATCATCCGCGTGAAACAGAAGTTAATGATCAATTAGATATGTAGCATTAGGTATGTAGTATGGTGCTATGCATGTATGAAACTAGATACGATAGCTTTGGGAAAAAAACTCAAAGGATTAAATAACATGGGAACATCAAGAAGACACAAAGTTGTACTTTTCTTTCCCTCCAAACACTTTCTTTTATCATGATACAGCACACTGATTCAAGATGGTGTGGCAGAATAGTAAAAAGGATAAGCTCTGGGGTCAGATTTGGTGGGTTATTGTCACTGTTTGCTATTCTTGGGCCATATTCCTCATTTTCCCTATCTATAAACTGGCAGCAGAGCTCCAGCCACTGAGGGATGCTGTGAGGACTGAGTGAATCGAAATGCATGAAGTACTTAGTCACTTAAGTCTAACATTATGTGACCTCAATGGACTGGTACAGAGAAGATTGCTTTTTTCTCCCTGTACCAGGGATTGAACCCAAGGAGCACTGTGCTACATCCTCAGGCCTTTTTAATGTTTGTTTGTTGATTGATTGATTGATTGATTGATTACCTGACTGAGACAGTCTTGCCAA